CCCGATCATTTGTTTATATCCGAGGGTCATTACACTGTCCAGACATCACGCGATGCGATGCGTGTGGTGTGAAAAACTTAATCAGTTGCTATTGTTTTACACGGGACGTTACTCGTAGTGTGAGATTTGATATTGTTTCTGTGACGTTCACGGTAAATTCAACACAATGCACACTTTTTAGGTCGGGCAGACCGGATTACTAGACAGCGGACGTGGTGCAACTGGTCGGATGGTCGATGTATTCAGTGTGAATATTGGACTTGGGGCCGATCAATGCGGTCGGTGTTCGGAGTAGACAGTGGTCGGATTTCACAGGTTGTTTTAACATAGGCGTCTATGGAGAAATTTCGGGACTACATAAATCGGTCGGTTCTGACAGTAGGTCGGTTTATCCAGGGGTCGGTTTTGACAGGTTTTACTGTATATCATATTATCTAGATTGATGTACTACGCGACACTACTGGCCAGTTTCAAATTCAAACCTTCAATTCTGAGAAGCAATCAATACCAGTAAGATTACCATCAGGTTTCCTTACCTGTCTTTTACAGAAGCAACGATACTGAGTTGGACATTGTGACAACTTGTATTCAAAACGACACTTGGGACTACAATGACAAAAGCACAAATTTGTTATAAAAAAAAGGAGGCCAGTTGTATTGGGATTACAGCAAAGTATAATGGACATATAACAAAAACAATGTACATTTCCACATATACATGTACATAGAACAAAGTGTACACAAGATGGAATAATCAGTCTTGGATCATTCACAAAAATGAATGTACAAAAAAAATGATATATGGACCACCTTAAGGTAAAGACCAAGACGTGATATTGGGTGTTTACAAAAATGTGGCCATATCCTGCCCTACCAGTAGCACCCACCATATATCAATCTAAGTAGTTTATTCATGAAGTGACCTTTCACATACAACAAATTATGTTATTAAGCAATCAGAGACCATAAACTATATCCACTACATACATAATTTCTTTCAAAATTCTTTGATCAATTGAATGTTTTTTTCATGTCAAATTATTGAAGCAACTTTTGCTACATTTTTATGCATGCAGATGGACAATAATTTTTTGAATTTGAAATTTTTATTAGAAATTGGAATTCTCAGATTTACAGATTTTCAGTGACAGTTAAATCATTCAGACCATTGTGGTAATTGTTTACCTTTGCCAAATAAAGCGACTTGGTGCACTTACTTAGAATAGGAAATCAAGTATTTGAAAAATTATCCGTAATGAAGGGCTAGTTACCTCTTAGCAGGACTGGTGGAATTTGAAAGTTAAATACCTGCTCTGGTGTTTGGTAACCAATTTTGAGAAATTTCAAAAACTGTTCTTACCAATGCCAAGACTGTTCTATAGCAGGGAAGTTCTCTTCTGATAGCAGGGACTTTCTCATAGCACCATGCTTTGACCAATTTTGTATGCAATTTAAGTGAAACATACAGTAACAGCCACTACAACTCCACACCTTTACAAATAAGAGAAAAATAAAAATGTCAATTACATTGTATTAAATAGATGCCATGCATGATTAAAATATATATACAAGACAAATATTTTTTTTATATATTTAGTGTTTTTCAAATTAAATCTAAAATAATAAACATGTAGAAATTATACTTTAATAATCTTGTCACCTTGATAGCTGAAATAATATCATAAAATACTCATAAATACTCATAAAATATTATCTATATTATCATATACAATTAAGCTTGATGCAAACATAGTACTTGAATTCATCAGAATATCATTGATGATTTGCTGAATAACTTAGATCATTTAAACCATTATTAGTAGTCAAAGTTAAACAGTTTTTACCATGCAACATAACATGTTGTCATGAAAACTGTATTTTTTTTAATCTTAATTTTTTCTTGAACTCGATCTAAATTGAATTAAATATTGAAGAATTAATATGACCCACACTATGTAATTTTAGATCATAGTTTCAATCGCATTGTGTTAACACAAGCTTCAGAATGTTACTGAAAACATATTGTTTTGGATGAAAATAATAAAAAAAAACTTACAGGATTATCATTCTTGATAACAGCGATACATATAAGACACACAGTGGTACTAGATGTGTAACAATCAGATAAAAATTGCTTGGCTCTATCAACACTGCTGACATCGTCACTCCCTGTAAAAATATAAAAACTGTCACTGTCAAAGACATAGACTAGTATTTAGTGTGCTTTCACAATTAATATTAATCACAGGACAAAATAACATGCATAGTTATCCCACTGTCAGTAACAAGATTTTTATTGCATCGCTTGTTGATGCCTTTTTTTTCATTTAGTCTATCCTTGGAGGAATTTAGAAGGCGATGTGTTATTGAAAAATGTCCCAGTTATGCCTGAAAAATGGTTAATGACATGTTAAAATATTTTTGGGAGAGAAGGAGATAGTCAAAATGGCTGTCAGTTGTCTGAAAACAATATAGGGTGACAAAATGTCACCTTCACTATCAAACACATCACTGGTCAAAAGAGTCCTCTTAGGTTGCTTGCCGAACAAACATAAGCAGTGCATGTTCAAAGGCATCCTCCTACAGGTGCATTGACAGTGAAAATAAACAAATCTTACCTATTTGTTGGCTGTAAGTTTGTAAAGTCTTATTCAGCACTTCATTGCCAATAGTAGTTTCTTCGTCAGAATCAGAATAATCATCATCATCTTCTTGTGATGCGAATTTCTCTGCAGCTTCCTTCATACTTTCTTTGACTTTCTCGAATCGTTGCTGACTACTACCCACATCTAACGAAATAAAAAGAAATTAATAATTAATTGATTAAAGCAACATAGTACAATGCAAAACATATGAATACCAAGAACATTTTCTATTTAACTGCCCAAAATATAACACACACACAGGAAAAACTTCATCCAAAAAATTAAGATACCACTTTCAACCAAAAATAAAATACACAATTCACATATATACTCTCAAGCAAAGATCTCAGCATAATTAAAAAACTTGCCAATTATATTTACACAACACAATGATTATTTAACCTTTAAATATTAGTTACGTACTTTTTATAATACTTTTACATGTATCTTGTTATTATTTTAAAACTATTTTTGCTGTACTCATCCTATGTAAATCTTTTTACACGGAGGCAATAAAGTTAGTATTATTATGAATACCAATGGCGTTGAATAAAAACCGAAATCTCAATAAAAAAAACATAATCATTTTTTCCATACTTAAATCGCTACAATTAAATATACACCACATGTGACAATATCATAGTCTTATATTATTGGATGTCAATTTAACAGCTGTGTTCAGGTGTAACAATACAGATTTTGTTTCGTTAGAATCTTATTCAAATATTGTGGCAATGTATCTTCAAAAATAAAACGTTATTCTGCAAATTGCTTATTAAATTTACTCAAGACATGTAATGCAAACATCTCCTGAAATGTTCAACCTACCATGCTGATTGCTGGAACTGCCCCATCTTGGTGTTTGTTGCCATTGGTTACCTCCATTTGCTCTTTTACTGTCTCCTCCTCCACGTCCTATTACCTCATACTGAGGCTTCCCATCATTCAGTCTATTTCCTCTCCCACGTCCACCCACACTGCCTCTTATCCCACGTCCTCTGCCTTGTTTCCATGCAGGAATATCACCATGGTAACTCATTCTGGTATGTAAAGCAATAATTAGTTTCAATTTTTGGTAAATTGTGATCACCTAATTATTTTGTAAAAATTAAATAGAAATGACAATTTTTTCAACAGTTAGGAAAGATAGATTATAGATAAGTGCATCTCTGTGATTGCCAAGTGTTATGAATAGTGCCAGTGGTATCACATACTGTACTAGTAGTAATGTGAATTTGTGAATACTTCGCCAATATATGAATTTATATTTTGAGTTATTTGATGTGTCAGAACAATGTACAGCAAATCACTATCATTCTGCACCTGTACTGTAACGTTTACAGATAAGAGGTGTGCCTTTAAATAATTACCTCTCACGCGTGCATATCTCTTTCCATATTTACGAAATAAACTTCTGGAAAGAACACATCTGGAAAATCGTGCCGCTGCCACCAACGTCCGGATATAAACGGAAGTATGGTGTTCCCTCAGCTAGATGAGAATAAGTACACAAAAAAGTAGTTTTGATAATTTCATTTGTTATGTCAGTGTAAAATATTGTATATGTATGTTGCCTATATAAGGAACATCTTTGTTTGTTGAAATAATGGACGAAATATGCAAGGTGATCAAGTTGTTCTGTAAATATTTGTAATAGCTTAGGGAGCACATTCTTTGGAATTCTGGGAGCAAGAATATTCTGCAAAATGGCGACTCTTCTGAAGTCGTTGATGTGATTCGATAAAAAAAAAAACAAGCGCTCATTTCGTAAGCTGCTTCCATGTCAGCACCTTCGTTTTTGGGCTGAGGTATCTTTTGTTTTGTTTACTGAAGGGGAGATTTTCGTATGAGTTCATCCAGGGAGCCGTCTGACAGTTCGGGAGCACAGGCCCCAGAAAACAGTGCAGACAGGTAAGGCCCCAAGCATCATGACTTGACGACAGAGGCGTCATCTGACCAGTCCAGGGTACACATTGTTGAAACCAATGTACATCTGATATGACGGCAGTTTATTTGAACTCATAATCGAGATATTTAAAATGTGTCAGACGCGATAAATAGCAAACTACCATCTCGTAATTTGATACTGTTTATTGGCAATACCGTGACAAAGACACGAGTGTGAGAAGTCCTGAATATTTGTTTCATTGACTATGTATTACCGATTGCATTCAAACTATTGAATATTATTTGCATTATCTTGTTCGTCATACTTGAATGATCATGGATATATACTACATGTACGAGATCAGGAGTTGATGCATGCTGTTAAAACGGACAGTGTCCACTGTGTATATTGAAAACATGAGGAGCTTGTTAGAGTGAGAAGTCCAAGCCCCACAGAAAATAGTTGTGTTCGCGCACAACCCGAGCTAAAAAAACATGCTCAAACGCTTAGCACAGGCTAAAAAACTCTAAGCTTAAATCATAAATAAAAACTGCTTAAATCATATACATTTTTATAACTCATTCCAGAACGTATTCAATGTCTGTTTGAAAGATTTACTCTTAAATTCATAACTATTTGTTTCAGTATGCCATTTCTGACATGACAATTCGTGACATTGCTCCAAGTATTTGCTTCAGTATTGTTTTGTAATCAATGAACTAACATGTATACCTTCCAGAAGATTTGTGTATTCTTAACAAGTTTGGGCATTCATCAGCCGTGCTAACAGCTTTTTCCTTCCATGCATGAAAGCAATTCGGTCAAGTCAATATGCAAACTTACAAGATTAGCTTAAATCTTTGCTCATACTTAGTGACTAATGAGATTGCATAGCTGGATTACGCTTATTACGCTTGATGTCAATAATGTGTATGTATTTTTAGTTTGTCAGTAATTGTTTAACCATGATTAAATACTTCCTGAAAGACTTGCATCATTTTAAAATAAAGTGCATTTGTATTGAATCAGAGTATTGAAAAAAAATGTCTGATTGAAATTCTAGTTGTCAGTACTTTAACTTCAAATTAAGCCCTGTTTATGATTATGAAATGAATCTGAATGCTAATATAATTCTGAATCATGAGACATCTTTAGCATAATTTGGTTCCAAGCCGTATCATATAGTTGCTTTATAACTGCTAACATGTACATGCTATTGTTATCTAACTGTATACATATGTTTTTGTTTTCCGATATATAGCAACAACAAAGTCACTCCAATAAATGTACAGCCATCTGCATCTCCAGAAGACGACATGTAAGTAAATTACAAATTAACCCCTTAATTACAGACATGTGGTACACTGATTATTATTATTAGTTACTTGGCATCTCTGATGACTTTGGTGTTTTATTTCACAATATTCTTTCGCAGGTGTTGTACTTACTAGTCTATTCCTAGCTTAGTTGCCTTCAATCACAAAGCTGCAGACTATGCACTGCCATAATTTGTTCAGCTTTACTCTGAAATCATTTCATACAATACACATAATACAATGTATGTAGTGTGTGTTTGATGGCAAGCGCAGCACAACATGGAGGTGATTTTTTTTACAATTTTTCAGAACGATCTATATGCATTGTCAAAAAAAGGCACTATTTTTTTTTAAAAGAATCAGGAGTTTAGGATTTTTTGTGGGGGTTTCCTGATCAATGAAGTAATTACCACATTTCATGGTCATAACAGCTCAAACTGAGTTTACTTATTCATGCTGGTTATAAAATACAATGTATTCTTGAATAAGTGACTTTGAAAAACTTAAATTTGACGATAACTTAGGCACCAGGAAAGATTAAAATGTTCTAAACTTGAATCCTAAATTAGAATAGTAACGACACAATGCTATAGGTATTTTTGTGTCTAAATAAATGGACATTGTTTTTTGCAACCAAAAGTTCACCCAAGTGTTGGAATAGCACCCGTGGTCAAGGTTTTAGATGGGCGGTGTATCAGACAAATATGGTACAATAACTTCTATTTAGTAATGACATTGTGACCATATACATCTTCTTTTAGGAAACGTGTTGCTGCTAAACAGTTAATTGAGCGCTATTATTATCAGTTAGTGGATGGTTGTGGAAGAGAGTACTGTGACAATGAAAACTGCGCTTCAAGTGGGAAAGGCAAGAAACTAACAGGCAATGAAGCGGCAGTGTTGGCATTGCAACTGTTCAAAGACAAGGCTAAACTATGCGAGCCCAATGCACCTAAAGTTGCCAAGACATCCACATCTCCTTGCTCTGGCACTTCATGTGTAGAGAGTGCAGCTACATCAAAGGAAACAGTTTCTTTCAGTGTTGATAAGCCATCAACAAGTGCCACAGAGAAAGAAGGTAACTTGTACATGTATATGTCATTCAGAATTTAACACATTGTTTCTGATATGTTTATCTTAGTTTAGACATTCAAGAGCGGTAGTCATCAACTGTCTTCTAAGCTGATATGATATGCCCAAAGATTTGCTGTGATGCACAAATATTTGTTGTGATGCCCAAAGATTTGCTGTGATGCACAAATATTTGTTGTGATGCCCAAAGATTTGCTTTGATGCACAAAGATTTGCTGTGATGCCCAAAGATTTGCTGTGATGCACAAATATTTGTTGTGATGCCCAAAGATTTGCTTTGATGCACAAAGATTTGCTGTGATGCACAAAGATTTGCTATGATGCACAAAGATTTGCTGTGATGCACAAAGATTTGCTGTAATGCACAAAGATTTGCTGTGATGCACAAATATTTGCTGTGATGCATAAAGATTTGCTGTGATGCAACTAGTTGTGCTAATTGACTGGCATATCATTGAAGTGACAGAAAAATCATACTTTGACTTAGTGATTCTGAAACAATCTTACCAAATTTAGATTTTATAAACAAAAAAAAGTGTAAAAATGTAGGAAATCAAAGGCCACAGAATTTGTGTATGTGCCTCAGGTCACCAATACAGTCACATACCATGTATGTATGTGTGTATGTATGTTCCACCAATATCTAATTAACAGCTGGTTAGATTTCAATGAAACTTGGTACATACTCTAAAACAATGTGACGATCTAATTAGATTGGGTTTTATATACATCCATAATAATTACCTAATTTGTCTAATAATATACGTTTCGGTTTTCCACCTATACATAATAATTGCTTAATTTGCATAATAATTTTCTACCTATATCTCAAGTTAGTATATTAATGCCTGTGAACAATGCTAAAAACCTTGTTAGTTTTGGATTGAAATTTGAACATACTACTTGCTTAATTTGAGTCATCTCATTTCATTGAAATTTGGTTCATAGATACTCTGGAGTAATTCACAGATTTGATTAGGTTAATGTTGAAAAACTTGCAAGTTGATTATCTAGGTAGTTATTATTAGCCAATTTCTAAATTTCAAAAAATCTGATTTACCGTCAATTTAACTTGTGTTAGAGGTGCCCTGGAATAAATTAGACTGCAAACCAAAGATGTACAATAAAATTATTTTCTGCTAGTATTATAAACTTCAATAATGTGGATCAAATTGCTGTCATGTTGTGCTTCTAAATATTGGTTGTCAAGCTTCTTGGTTGAAAGGCTAATCTTAAATTTTAAATTAATTTTTAATATGCCTCAAGTACTAACAGCAAAAGTTCTTCTTAAGTTTTCTTTGATTTTTAGCTTCGCTGTCGACTTTGTCGAGCGGAGCTTATCATATGAGTGATTGTCCGTCGTCATCCGTGTCAATGTTTTACTTTTTCGACTTCTTCTCGAAAACTACATGCCTGAATTTTTAGCTCCGCTGTCGACTTTGTCGAGCGGAGCTTATCATATAAGTGATTGTCTGGCGTCGTCCGTGTCAATGTTTTACTTTTTCGACTTCTTCTTGAAAACTACAAGCCTGAATGCTTTGATACTTCGTGTATATGTACCTTGGGTAGACCTCTCTCAGTTTTGTTCATTTCATTATGATATCTTCAATTCTCTAATTTTGGTGAATATTTTTGTCATTTTTGGTAAAAAGTGATATTTTCGACTTCTTGTTAAAAATCGCAAGTCCAATTGCTTTGATATTATATATATTGGTACTACATGTGGACCTCTCTCAGGTTTGTTCATTTCGTGATGATATCTTTAATTCTCTAATTTTGGTGAATATTTTTGTCATTTTTGGTAAAAAGTGATATTTTCGACTTCTTGTTAAAAACTGTAAGTTTGATTGCTTTGATATTACATATATAGGTACTACATGTGGACCTCTCTCAGATTTGCTCATTTT